ATGGATTTTATTTCTCCCTTCTGCCAACAGCAGGATGTGACCAAAATAATAAACACAGAAAAGTTACAGTGTCCTAGAAAGGTTTTACAGTCATGATCCTTGTCTGTGTTTCCTCATTCCTGGTTTAAACAGTCAGACACCAGGCCCTGATCTTTTTTTTATCCCAACACTTCTCAGAATTCAAAGCTCCAAAATTCACTCAGGTAGCAGAGTACCTAGAAGTTACAGCCTCCATAATGAAGCTCATTACTACTGCTGTGTTTAATTCTATCTCAAGAAAGGAGGGTCAGGATCCAATCCTAGATGAGGTATAGGATGATTCAATGGTTAGCGCACAGGTTCTGGGTTGGGCAGAACTTGGGTTGAATCCCACCTCCAACACTTATTAATTGCATGACCTTAGGAAAGTCACTCAGTTTCTGAGTCCCAGGGCTGTGGACTGAATTGTGTTGCCTCCCACCCCCACCGCCTCTAACCCCCAATGTGACTGCATTTGGATACAGTACCTTTAGGGAGGTGGGTAATTAAGATTAAATGAGGTCAAAAGGGTAGGATCATGATTCAATAGAACTGGTGTTCTTATAAGAAGAGATCAGAGCTTTCTCTCTCCAGAGATGGCTCTCTCCACGCATGCAGAGGAAAGGACACAGCAAGATGACAGCTTGTAAGCTAGAGGCTTCTCACTAGAAACCAACCCTGACAGCACCTCGTTTGACTTCTAAGCCTCCCGAACGATGAGAAAACAAATTTCTGTTTTTTAAACCACCCAGTCTGTGGTATTCTGAGATGGCAGCCTGAGCTGGCTGACACACTCAGTTTCCTCATCTGAAAAGCAGGGATAAAACTAGGGCTTGCGTCATGATGCTGTTGTGAGGATCCAGCGAGGAAACTCATGTGGAATGCCTGTGTCATTTTGCTACAGCGTCTTTGGCACCTGGAACAGTGCCTGGCAGGTAGTGGATGTTCAGTAAATACCTCCTGAATGAAAAAATACATCCATCAAAAAAGGAAGTTGTCACACTAAATACAAGTGCATATTTCTGAGCTTTTCACTAATCTCCCATTTCGTTGATCATGGATCACCACTCACCAGCAAATGACAGCAGGCATGAAGGGTTTTAGAAAAGTGTCTGCTAAAACAGTCTCCTGTTTTTACTTAGATCTGCCCGTTAATGTCATGCCTTCTGTGAATTGGGAAAGGGCTTGGTCTGGCTGATCCTGACGCAAGTTTCAGTTTCTGGGAAGAGGGGATATTGATCAGAGAGCTGAAGGAAGCCTGAGCCCTTGTCCAGCTTGGGGGCCTAGGCATGGAGGGGAGCTTTTGATTCTGTGGGGCAGCGGGGCTGGAGATGGCAGCTATGGGAGGCAATGCAGAGGCTACGGAGAGTTGGGGCTGAGCCCTGGGAGTGGCACAGGGAAGTTGGTCTAGAGCTGGAATCCACAGCAGGCCACCTTCCTGGTGCCTGCAAGATGCAAATGATGGGAACAATGGGGCCTCTGTGCCCAGGCCATTAGTGGCAGAGCCTGAGCTCTAGGGAGGCATAGCTGCTTCACCATGGCCATGGTGAGATGTGGTTCTGGGGCAGCCTATCCTTCCCTGGGGGCCCAAGACTCCAGGCAGGGAGAGGCATCCCAGCAGCTCTGACCACCCCCTTACTCCCCTACCTGAATCTTTCCAGGACAGGCTCAGTGGGAGCAAGCCCTGGTGAGTATATGTGCCCCTGTCTTTCTCTCTGCCCTCCTTTCTGGCCTCCACTCAACACCCCTTTCAAGGGCCCAGCAGTCTCTGGAGCTGTGCTGGCTCCACCTGGGCCCTCCCTGCCTGGTGGGACTATTCAGGAACCTCCACCCCTGTGAGCATTAGGGTCTCCCCACCACAGGCTTCCCTGAGCACCGGCTCATCCAGCTGTGGACACCAGGGCATTAGCTCTGCCCCGACTTCTCTTCCTGCTCCCCTGGTCCTAGGTTGCTGTCATACAACTCCAGGGGCACCATTCACTTTGTCAGCAATGGGACTGTCCCGGAGCTGGGCAGTACATGACTGACACAAACTCAAGGGCCCCTTGGGCAGAGTTGACTAGAATCTGATTGCAGGTTGGAGCCACCCCTTCCACCCCTCAGATATGTAGGTAAGTGACACAGTGGGCAAGAGGGGTCCCAGCAGAGTGGGGTCCCCTTCAAGTAAGTCTCCCCTGAGTGGTTCTGGATACCTTCCACCATCATAGTCCAGCACTGCTAAGCCACATTTTCTACCTTTCTTGGTCAGAAATAGGGGTGCATGGGATGGGGGGCTGTCACAGGTGGAATAGGCAACTTGCTGGGAGGCCCCTTTGCTTCCAAAATGCCTATGTCCTTGGCCCTGGTGCTGTGATGGAAAGGATCCTCATGAATGGTCCCTTTGAGCTGAAGAAGCACAGAGGCCTACTGTAAAAGTGCAGATGGTTTATTATACTGGGGAGAGAGAATAAGTCATTGTGTTAGAGAGTGGGTGGTGGGAGGCAGTGTATGTGTGACATTTCTTCTCTGCTGGGGATCCCTGTATTCCCAATGAGCTAAAGGCTGCATGTGATACTGGAAGTCACATCTTCCCAGACTGTTTCCAGAAGAACAGTGTTTCTCAAACTTGACTGATCATAAGATTGATCTAGAATGCTTGTTAAAATAATACAGATTCCCAGTTCTGTCCCCAAACATCCAGTTCTTAAGAGCTCAGTGAATGTCCAGGAATCTAAGACTTGTAACAGCTCTCCAGAGATTCTTGTGATAATAATGCAAATGGAGGAAACACAGCCCTGAAGAGCTGTTTGTTTCCTTGGGGTAGGTTTAGACTATCCTGGGCCTGTAAATAATGGCCTGTTCTCACTGGAGATCAGTAGCTGAGATCTGGAAAATGTGGAAAATCACTGTGTGTTATGAAAGGAACATAAAACAGGCACTGATGTGCTGACAGAAAAAGGGGCATTGAAACTGTCAAAATGTGAGTTTCCAGCAATTCCACTTCTAGGAATTCATCCTGAGGAAATAGCTATGGTTGTGCATCAAGCAATCTCTTGCCAAAGATGGAGAAAGAGGTTGTCCAAATATGCTTGTGCAGTTAGCAAGAAGCCCAGTCCCACAGGGCTGGCTGCCATGAGACAAAGCTGTGAGGCAGGCCTCTTTCCATCCCCTTCTCCTTGCTCTGTTCAGGCCAGTGCCCCCACCCAGAGGGCACAGATCCCATCCTCTGTCTAGGGCCCTGCCTGCATTTGCCTATGCAAAGCCCTGAATAGAAGGGGGGTGGGTGCGGGGTGGCGAGGCAAAGGCAGTATGGACTAGGAAACAAGATCTTTTGGGGTTTGCAGTGGGGTGGTATCTACAGCTTCCTGCTGACTTTGACCTGCTGACTCTGGTCCCATAAGTGGTCCCCTTGGTGAGGGAAGTTACCCCCTGCTTTTGGTCCAAATGTGGAACAAAGATAACTGGAGGGAGGTCAGGTAGGAGAACCTGTCCTAACTCCAGGACCAGATTGTTGTTTTTATTTGTTTTCCCAGTTTTTCGCATGGCACCAAGTGAGTTCACTGAGAAGCCACTTAAGGGCCCCTTGGTCTGCAAGAAGACCAGGAGTCGTCTGCCTTCCTCTGAAGGCTGGGGCCAGTCCACCCATAAGGCTGTCTCCCCAGGGCCCCCAGCCCCAGCACCTCCAAAAATGCAGGCACATGGATTTTATTTCTCCCTTCTGCCAACAGCAGGATGTGACCAAAATAATAAACACAGAAAAGTTACAGTGTCCTAGAAAGGTTTTACAGTCATGATCCTTGTCTGTGTTTCCTCATTCCTGGTTTAAACAGTCAGACACCAGGCCCTGATCTTTTTTTTATCCCAACACTTCTCAGAATTCAAAGCTCCAAAATTCACTCAGGTAGCAGAGTACCTAGAAGTTACAGCCTCCATAATGAAGCTCATTACTACTGCTGTGTTTAATTCTATCTCAAGAAAGGAGGGTCAGGATCCAATCCTAGATGAGGTATAGGATGATTCAATGGTTAGCGCACAGGTTCTGGGTTGGGCAGAACTTGGGTTGAATCCCACCTCCAACACTTATTAATTGCATGACCTTAGGAAAGTCACTCAGTTTCTGAGTCCCAGGGCTGTGGACTGAATTGTGTTGCCTCCCACCCCCACCGCCTCTAACCCCCAATGTGACTGCATTTGGATACAGTACCTTTAGGGAGGTGGGTAATTAAGATTAAATGAGGTCAAAAGGGTAGGATCATGATTCAATAGAACTGGTGTTCTTATAAGAAGAGATCAGAGCTTTCTCTCTCCAGAGATGGCTCTCTCCACGCATGCAGAGGAAAGGACACAGCAAGATGACAGCTTGTAAGCTAGAGGCTTCTCACTAGAAACCAACCCTGACAGCACCTCGTTTGACTTCTAAGCCTCCCGAACGATGAGAAAACAAATTTCTGTTTTTTAAACCACCCAGTCTGTGGTATTCTGAGATGGCAGCCTGAGCTGGCTGACACACTCAGTTTCCTCATCTGAAAAGCAGGGATAAAACTAGGGCTTGCGTCATGATGCTGTTGTGAGGATCCAGCGAGGAAACTCATGTGGAATGCCTGTGTCATTTTGCTACAGCGTCTTTGGCACCTGGAACAGTGCCTGGCAGGTAGTGGATGTTCAGTAAATACCTCCTGAATGAAAAAATACATCCATCAAAAAAGGAAGTTGTCACACTAAATACAAGTGCATATTTCTGAGCTTTTCACTAATCTCCCATTTCGTTGATCATGGATCACCACTCACCAGCAAATGACAGCAGGCATGAAGGGTTTTAGAAAAGTGTCTGCTAAAACAGTCTCCTGTTTTTACTTAGATCTGCCCGTTAATGTCATGCCTTCTGTGAATTGGGAAAGGGCTTGGTCTGGCTGATCCTGACGCAAGTTTCAGTTTCTGGGAAGAGGGGATATTGATCAGAGAGCTGAAGGAAGCCTGAGCCCTTGTCCAGCTTGGGGGCCTAGGCATGGAGGGGAGCTTTTGATTCTGTGGGGCAGCGGGGCTGGAGATGGCAGCTATGGGAGGCAATGCAGAGGCTACGGAGAGTTGGGGCTGAGCCCTGGGAGTGGCACAGGGAAGTTGGTCTAGAGCTGGAATCCACAGCAGGCCACCTTCCTGGTGCCTGCAAGATGCAAATGATGGGAACAATGGGGCCTCTGTGCCCAGGCCATTAGTGGCAGAGCCTGAGCTCTAGGGAGGCATAGCTGCTTCACCATGGCCATGGTGAGATGTGGTTCTGGGGCAGCCTATCCTTCCCTGGGGGCCCAAGACTCCAGGCAGGGAGAGGCATCCCAGCAGCTCTGACCACCCCCTTACTCCCCTACCTGAATCTTTCCAGGACAGGCTCAGTGGGAGCAAGCCCTGGTGAGTATATGTGCCCCTGTCTTTCTCTCTGCCCTCCTTTCTGGCCTCCACTCAACACCCCTTTCAAGGGCCCAGCAGTCTCTGGAGCTGTGCTGGCTCCACCTGGGCCCTCCCTGCCTGGTGGGACTATTCAGGAACCTCCACCCCTGTGAGCATTAGGGTCTCCCCACCACAGGCTTCCCTGAGCACCGGCTCATCCAGCTGTGGACACCAGGGCATTAGCTCTGCCCCGACTTCTCTTCCTGCTCCCCTGGTCCTAGGTTGCTGTCATACAACTCCAGGGGCACCATTCACTTTGTCAGCAATGGGACTGTCCCGGAGCTGGGCAGTACATGACTGACACAAACTCAAGGGCCCCTTGGGCAGAGTTGACTAGAATCTGATTGCAGGTTGGAGCCACCCCTTCCACCCCTCAGATATGTAGGTAAGTGACACAGTGGGCAAGAGGGGTCCCAGCAGAGTGGGGTCCCCTTCAAGTAAGTCTCCCCTGAGTGGTTCTGGATACCTTCCACCATCATAGTCCAGCACTGCTAAGCCACATTTTCTACCTTTCTTGGTCAGAAATAGGGGTGCATGGGATGGGGGGCTGTCACAGGTGGAATAGGCAACTTGCTGGGAGGCCCCTTTGCTTCCAAAATGCCTACGTCCTTGGCCCTGGTGCTGTGATGGAAAGGATCCTCATGAATGGTCCCTTTGAGCTGAAGAAGCACAGAGGCCTACTGTAAAAGTGCAGATGGTTTATTATACTGGGGAGAGAGAATAAGTCATTGTGTTAGAGAGTGGGTGGTGGGCAGGGAGGAGAAGAGACCAGTCTCATCAGTCTCCTGTCCAGACTCGCCAGCGTGGAAAAAAGATGACCCCCACCCATCTCCTCTTCCTGCCCCTGGGACCTGGAGACACAGGGTAAGTCCAGGTGCTGAGCCTGGGGGGGGGCGGGGGCAGCGGCCACCATGGTCCCCACACCTCTTCCATCCTCCCTGCGCTCAGCATCCCTTCCCAGAAGCCCAAGAGGTGGAGAAAGAGGAGGAGGATAACTATGAACTGCCACCCTGTGAGGCTCTGCCCCTCAGTCTAGCCCCCGCCCACCTTCCTGGCACCAAGGAGGATTCCTTATACCTGGGTGAGGATGGGGAAGTTGAGGCGGGGAGGTTGGGTGGTCAGGCAGGACAGAAGGGTCCCCACAAGGGAAGAGGGCTCAAGGCTGGCCTCTCTTCCCTCTGTCTGTGCTGGCAGTCGCTGAGGCCTCCTGGCTGGGCAAAGAGAGAGGGACGCAGGAAAAGAAGGAGGGAGGAGGGAAGGGAAGAGTGGGGGAGGGGCGAGGAGCCCGGAGGGGCAGTGTAACCAAGGTAACAGCGGGAAAAAAGAAGAACCCCAAAAAGGAACCAGGGGACAAGAAAAACCCCAAAAAAAAACTGGCGCTTTCAGAGCAGGGTTACGGGTGCCAGGGGGGCTCTGTGGGCCTCCCGCCCCTTGGGCTCCTCCGCTCGGTCAGGTGGGGGCAGGGAAGCTGGCCGCCTCCGGTTGCCATGGAGACGGGGCTGTCGGGAAGCCAGCGAGGGGGAGGGGGGCGCGGAAGGGAAGAGGAAATAGAGGCTAGGTGTGGGGTGCGAGGAAAATGGGAACCTCCGTGGGCAGAAGCCGTCACACAGGGCGCTTGGGACTTTTCCAGATCACTCTGGCCCCCGGGGCCCGTCCAAGTCGCCACGACCGCAGCCCCAGCCCGGGACGGTGAACAGCCCGCACCCCCATCCAGTCCCTCCTTCCCCACCCGTCCCACCCCAGGCCATCATTTCCCAGTGGGTAAATCTAAGAGTCATCTCATTTGCAAGATTCCCTACATATGTATTCAAGAGGCTCCTGAAAAATCGGATGCGTCAGAAGATGGAGCCCTGTTAACCCCCCTTTCAGCCCTCCCGGTCAGCACCACCCAGGGCTCACTCTGCACCCCAGCTGGGGAGCAGGGCCCAGCTCGGGCCGCCCTGGGGCCTGAGGACCCCTCCCTGCCTAGAGTGAAGAAATCCCTCACTCAGCTGCCAGTCACTGCCAGCTCTCATTCCCAACACGTTCCTCTTTCTGGGGTTTGAAAGCCAGCACCTTTTACTGGAATGAAAAGAAAAACACAGATTTACAACAAAGAGCAAACCACAGAACTGAGGCAACGAGAAGGACCACCTCCTCTCCACATTAACTCCTGCACTGTGGTGTTTTTAAGCTGCGCAGATAGACATAGCCCCATTACACCCCATGCCACATCCTTGCCCTCTGTTGCCTATTCACCCTCAACGCTCCACCCTGCGCCCTGTTCTCCCTCACCACCCCATTGTGCCCACAGCTGAAGGCGGCACTGAGCCTGCAGGAGGCCATGAAACAGGGACAGTCCCTTGGGAGGCGAGGTAATGGGGATGTCCTACCTCTTTCTGAGGCCCACCCACATCCCTCTGTAAGAAGAGATGAGTGAAGAGAGAAAGGAATTTGTGAAGCTTAGGGTGGAAGAGTGGCGTATCCTTGAATGTGTCTGAAGGGATCCTCAAAGTCAGCTTAGAAGCCCCAGGAAGAGACCATCCACATTTGCAAGATTTCCTACATATGTATTCAAGAGGCCCCGAAAAAGGGGAATCTGGGTCCCCGCTGGGTAGTGCTGAGCTGCTGTATGTCTGCCTCATGCTTTGTCTGGCTGTTGCAATCCCCCAGCTGTTTCTCACTTCACCTGCCAATCCCCCTAAGACATGCAGTTCAGGAGGGGACTGAGGCCCTGAGACAGGACATGCTTTGCCTGAGGTCACACAGAAGCAGAGTCCTGACTCCCAGGAACTGTTGCAGTCTCTGGGTTGGATGAGGGCGGTCTGAAGGGCAGCCCACTCTGCCTGGACTACCCTCATTTTTGAGACCCATCAGCATCTCACCCCCCATCAAAGGGGCCCTTGGGCCACCAGTCTCTGATTCCATTATTGCCACCACTGTCCAGAGACTTCCCCCTACGGTAAGTGCCCCATGGTCTATGACTCCAGAACCCTGGGACGTTGGAATAAGGAGGGACCTCAGCCAGCATGATTTTGTCTGAAAGTGGCCCCAGGAGGAGCTTCTGCCCCCTGCCCAAAGTCAAACAGCTAACCCGAGGCATATTCGTTTTTACTCTACTCAGTTGTTGGTTAACCTTCAGGTCCTTGAGGGTGGTTTTGATTTTTGGAAAAGCCAAAGTCATTTGGAGCCAAGCCTGGCAAATTGGAAGGTCAAGTCAGGCTACACCCCTGGGTTATTAAGTAAGCTGATCAAGGCATGTGGATGGTCTTTACCTGGGGCTTCTAAGCTAGCTTTGAGGATCCCCTCAGATACATTCAGGGATACTCCACTCTTCCAGCCTAAGCTTCACAAATTCCTCTCTCTCTGCACTCATGACTGATGGTTCTCTTCTTTTCCTTCCAGAGCTGGATGCCTCAGCCAGAGTGGTGAGTGGCCCCTTAATCCAGAGTCACACTCTAGGGTTCTGGCTCAGGAGTTGGCAGGATAGGGTAGGGGGCCTGGGCAGGCCAGGAGAGGTCCCTGGAAAGGGCCCAGAGCAGAATCCTTCTCCATTTGCCACAGGCCTCTGGTGGGGCGTAAGCCAGTTGTCCTTCTGAGAGCTGCCCAGGGTTTCTGGGAGGTGGGGGAGGTCTCACCTAGATCTCATTCCGGATACACACGTTCTCTGAGAGCTAGGGACTAAGGGCACCTTTGCAGGGTAAGGTGCTCATGGGGTGCCCCTTCCAAGCCAAGGAACAATTTTAATCAGTCAGCTGGCTCTGAGGAAGAGGTCCACTTTGTGAGGGGGAAGGGGACTGAGGTGCCCACAGATCCCCTGCCCCAAGTGATGGCTCTGTCCTCCCTCCTACCTGTGGGTCAAAACCTTGGTGCCCTCTCTACCCCACCCCCTCAGGTGACAGGCCCTCCAAAGAAACCTGATGAGGACATCTACCTGGAGTGTGAGCCCAGTCCAGGTGAGCATCTCCCTCCACTAAGATCCACCCTGCCTGGAGGCCCCCAGCTATCTCAGCATGACACACTCTCCTCTTCCCTTGATTCTCTCACCACCCCACCAGACACCCACATGGACACCCACACTTCCAACTTGTGGTCTGGGTTGACCCCCAAGGTACCCACAAGGGAAGTGATCTTTTTAAAGCAAAAGCTGTTAGGGGCTTCTCAGCTGTTGCCCTCAGGGCAGTGCTCCCCTGATCAGAAGCCTCCCAGAAAGCCCAGCTGCAGAGAAGCAGCAGGCCTTGCCGTGGCTGCAGCCCCTCCCTGGCCAGCTCAGGTCTCCTTGCCTGGCTCCCAGCTTAGTGCAGCCTGCCCTCTCTGTTTCAGTCCCGGTCTTGACTCGGACTCTGAGCTCCCAAGTCCTGATGCCCCTAGTCCCTCTGCCAAGGACATCAGTGGTGCCCAGGTGAGCATGCCACCAGCTGTGTGTGTGTGGGTGTGTGTGAGGGGGGGTTGGGGAGAGAGGGAAGAGGGGAATGGCCATTGCAGGCTTTCCCAGCTCTGACCTTGGGGTCTCTGGGTTCACTGGGCTCTTTCTCCTGAAAGAGGTAAAGAACCTGAGCTCTGTTCCCCAATTTGCTCCCCACAGGCCCACCGTAGCCCCCCAGGATGCTCAGAATGTAAGAGGCTGGTAGTCAGGGGAGAAGTGAGCTGGGTGGGAGGCAGGAGGCTCAGGGTGGGTCTTCAGGCCCAGAGAAGCAGGCCTGTGGGGCCAAGGCTCTTGTAACCAGATCTTCTGTGTCCCAGGGAGCAGAAAATACCACCTATAAAGGTAAGTACAAGCATTTTCAGCATGAACCTGGGCAGTCTTACCAGGGTCCAGCCCACCCCCAAGCCTATCTTGTCCCACTTTGCTGACAGAGTCTCTCCAGCTCTGATTCCCACTGACAGCTGGGGGGACCTCCTTGGATATTTTCCAGAGTCTGCACCAAAGCAGGAAATTCCAAGCCTGTACTTCAAGATCTCCCCTAATTTTGGGGTCCCGTGTGGCCTAGCTGGTGGGTCCCACCAGAGCCCGACACCTGGTGAGGAGGGGGGAACGCTGCTTCAGGCCTATGCACACTCCCTCCCACCTCCCCCACACTGCAGCTGGGCTGAACCCTCTTTTGCCTAATCCTCTCCCAACACCAGCTCTCTAATCTACTTTTTCCAGCCAGAAGGAGATCCTCTTTTTCTTCTGCAGCCCCCACCTGGAGCACCTCTGCTGCTGAGGTGAGGAGGGGCTGGGGCAGAGGGCTGCCAGGAACCTCTTGGGCTGGTTTCCACATGTCCAGAAACACTGTGCTGGCACCGACACGGACACATCTTTGTCCTCCTTGCACAAGCTCAGTCTGGGGAAGCAGATGTGAACTCAAGTAATAGCAACCGGGTTATTGGCTGCTCCCCATCCCCCTCCAGTGCCCTGGTACATCTCTGAGCATCTCTGTGTGTACACACAGGACAGCAGCCTGCTGGGTCAGCCTTGGTACTCAGGGAACTGTGACCGTCATGCTGTTGAGAGTGCTCTGCTCCGATTCCAAAAGGTGGGCAACCGCTGACCACCTGGGCCCTTTCTGCTTAGCAGGCAAGGGCAGGTGGGCAAGGGGGCGGGTGGTCAGCGCTGAGGTGGACAGTTTGCAACATGAGATTGACAGATGGCATCTTCTCCACAGGATGGGGCATACACCATACGCCCCAGCTCAGGGCCTCATGGCTCCCAGCCCTTCACCCTAGCAGTGCTTCTCCATGGCCGGGTCTTCAACATTCCCATCCGAAAGCTAGATGGTGGGCGCTGCTATGCCCTGGGCCGGGAGGGCAGGAACCCCAAGGAGGTGGGTGCTACAGGAGGGAGGAGGAAAAAGGGCAAGGAGGGCACAGCAGGCAGCACCCTAGTCAGGAGCACTTTTCCAGGGAGCACCCACATTTTGTGTTTTTCTGGAGTGTGTGGAATGACAGTGGCCAGTGTCCTGAACTCCTCCCAGACGCCCACCCTGCTCTGGGGGAGGCACTAGTTCTGTGTGGCCTAGTCTGCACAAGCCCAGGTGGGGGCATTTGTACTGGTAATGAGCCCAGCTGAGAGGACGGCAGGGCCCAGGCAGTCCAGACTCCTGCATGTGCCAAATTCTCAACTGTTCCCCCAGCACTCACTGGGCTACAAGCCAGAGACAGTCACCCACCACTCAGCTCTCCATGCTGGAGAATCATGGCAGAGGCATGGCCCCATGGTTATTTCCATCTGGCCAACAACATGTCCATGGATTCAGTCCTGGGAAAAGAGTCCTGGATTTGTGCAGCAAAATGGCAAACAGAAAGGAAGCTATTTAGAAAAATGTCAACAAGACCCCTCACCAGAGCCCCTCCATTCCCTTGGGAAGTTTCTCCCAGTGTGAGGCTCAGGGAACTCACAGACACTCTTCCTCCCTGTCCAGCTCTTCTCCTCTGTGGCTGCCATGGTCCAGCACTACAGTCAGCACGCCCTACCCCTTGTGGACCGGCAGAGCGGCAACCGGCAGCTCACCTGCCTGCTCTTTCCCACCAAACCCTGAGGTGGAAGCAGATGCAGACATACCTGCCCACTCTGCCCCACAGATTGCTCCTTGCCCCACCCATGCTGGGCTGTCCCTGGCTCTTATCTCCTAGGTCTCCACCCCTGCAGGCCTTCCCCATCCCTGGCCCAGGTCCCTGCAGGCCAGGATAAGAGGCACTGGGAAAAGTTACCCAGAGACAGAAAGGGTCCCTGAGAGTCCCCCACTCCCATGCTCACCCAGAGCCAGGCACTGCCCCTCCCTGCTGCATCTCCACAGCTGGGAAGCAGGGTCAGGTAGGGCCCCTGTTCAGACCCCTAGAGATGGCTGTGTCTGCCCTGTTTACTAGGGCCTCCCAAGCTGCTCTGGATGAAGGCCTCCCTGGGGAAGCGAGCCTCAGGGGGACAGCATGAGCACTGCTTGGTCTCAGAGAGAATCCTCTCACATTCTCTTGCAGGCTTACCAAAGGGCTGGCATCTGGGAGAGACTCGGTGGCCCTCCGCATAGTTCACTTGCAATAAATATTTGTTGAAAGAATTTTTTAATTTGTTGAGTAAAGCAGAGGTGGCCTCCCTGAAGCTGCAAAGCTCTCAAGTGTCACAGGGCACAGACTGGGTGTCGGATTCATGAAGCAGTGGTGGCCAGGCCAAGGCAGGAAGGGCCAGCCCCATTTCTTCCACTTGATTGGGGCTCTTGACCTTAGATGGTTTGTGCCAAGAATGAGGAAGGCCAGTCCCTAGGGAGTGGAGTTTTGTTTTGTTTTGTTTCTGGGGTCAGGGTGAGGAAGAGGCCGGGGAAGACCCAGTGCTGTCTGCCACCCTATTAAATGATGAGAATACAGAGAAGTACTTGTTCACCACCTATATACTGTACAGTGTTTCCCCAGGGGGAGATGAGCAAAAGCAGAGACAGGCAGACCCCAGGAAACAACTGGGTATTGCAAACGCCGGTCCTGGTACTGAAAGCTATGGGGGGCTCAACGCAGGCCTTCAAAGAAGACCAGAGGCCATCGAGCAGAGCTGCTTGACCGGGTGTGGCCCGGCCACCCGGCCGAGACTGCAGGGCCCCGGCGGCCTGCAGGCGGGCGGGGCTGGGCGGCGGGCGGCGCGAGGCTGGGCGGAGGGGCGGGGGTGTCCCCGGGCCCTGGCGCGGCGCCCGGAACACCCCGTGCCGGAAGCCCCGTGTGACCGTGACTGCGGGGAAGCCGCGAGCGCAGTGAAACAAAGAGCGGTGGTGCGGCCGCCGGGCGTTCATACTGGCACCGAGGGCCCGGACCCCCTACCCCCGCCGGAGCCACCCGTGCCTCGGGACGACCCGGGCCTGGCCTGGCAGGGAGGCGCCGGATCCCTCTGAGGCCGGGGCGGAGCGCAGGCCCGGGGGGCGGGTGCCCAGGAACGCCGAAACGCCAGTGCGAGGCTGGGTGGGCGATGTCGGGCCAGGCTGGGGTAGTGACGGTTCTCCCCGTCACTGCCGGCTCTGGCAAATTAGCCTCTGAATCGTAATTTCTGCAGTAGAGGCGAAGGTCATCAGACCTACGCAATTAGCCTACGCACGGTTCGGTGGCGTAAGGGAGGAGTTCCGTTTGAAGCAGTGACGACAAGACAGGGCCTGATGGGCAGCACTCAGCTCCTGACTCTCAAGTAAACATGCACCTGAATTCAGGTCAATGAACTGCCACTTTCAAGTCACAGCCCGGATGTAGTTTCTGACCAGGGCACCAGCAAGAGGAGCAGAGTGGGCAGCTGGGGCAGGGCAGGGTGAGGGTGGGCCAAGAGATTAGCAGCTGGAGGCTCTAGGAGAAGTGTTGGGGAGGATAGGACAGCCTCCCTCATGTCTGTTAGCCAGTCCTGGCTCCCTCTGGGCCCTGGCTGGGAGTGGCCTCTGTCCACTACACTTTCCCCAGCCTGACCCTGGCAGAGCTCAGGCTGAAAAGGGCTGGGCCTCAGGGTACAGCCAGACTCCTGCATCCCCCCCACAGATGATCTATTTGCAGCTTTGACTTCTCTTGAGGAGCCCTACCACCCTATGGCTACTAGGGCCGTAGGGCCAGTTTTTATGAACACTGAATTTACCTAGCCCCAAAGCTAAGTGAGCTGTGTGGGGAGAGGAGGCCACGGTGCAGTTAGTGAGTTAGTGGCCCTGTAGGGACTCTCTGCTTGGTCCTAGATTCAGGGAGTAATTTTAAGGAACTAACTTCAATCCTTTCTCTCTTGGGGAAAAAGAGGAGGATCAGTCCAGGCAGTGAGAAGGGACCCAGACGGCCAAAAAGAGCTTGGTCTAGCAGGTGGCTCGGGCTAGCCAGTGCCGCCTCAGCCTGCACATCGGTGCTTACATATCCCTTTTCCCAGGAAACAGTTTCATCTCCCCCAGCCTGGGCTCAGGCACTTAGTACACCCCCTGGCAATTGCCTTTTCACTCCTAGGGAAGGACCAACTACTACTGCCAACTATTATTTACTGGCCTGGAATACAATAGGCGCCAAGTATTTGTTGAAAGAGTCACTGAATAGGTCAAGTCTACTATCCTGGATTCCTCTAAAGCTGTTAACTTTCCTTGATCAGACTTTCCTTTGTAAACCCAGTGTTGTCAATCGACCTTTCTGTGATGATAGGAACATTGCACTGTCCAGTACAGTAACCACTAGCTACAGGAAGTTATTAAGCATTTGAAATGTGATTTCAGTGTGAATGAGGAACTGATTTTTAACTATAACTTACTTTTTAATTAATTTAAACATAAATAACCACATATGGTTCACGGCTATCCTATTGTTCCAGGTCTCTTGCCTTCCCAGGGCGAGGGGTGGTGGTGAGAGAAATCTGGAAAAGTTAGGGGGTCCTTGGTCTGGAGGAGCCTGGGAGGCATCCGTAATGAGTGAGAGCAAAAAGGAGCTGTTGAGCTTCTGAGCAGGGGTAGGTGCAGGGCTGGTATTTTAGGAGGGTCGCTTTAGCTGAGAAGTGCTGAGCAGATTGAGGGGCAACACAGAGGCAGGGAGAACAGTTAGTTGCTGCAGATTTTTCTGTGATTCAGGTGAGAGGTAACACCTCTTGATATTTCACCATGCTGGTGTCTCTCCAAGGCCTGTGTGACATTAACCTTGGTCTCTTCATTTTTAAACAGGCCTAATAACACAATAATTCACAATCACAATGTAGGTTGATCACAGGGACTATTGAACCACCTTGATGTACATTTGAAACCAATGTAAGATTGTATATTAACACTTGAATAAAAAATAAAAATAAAACAGGCCTAATAATACCTGCTTTTAAGGGTTGTTGTGAGAATGAGATATGATCTATATAGCATATACTCAGCCTAACACAGAGCCTGACATATAGTGGAGCCAAATGATTAGTACCTAAATAACAATCCTGTCAATAAGCGAAGCCTGGTTCTGGTCCCAGCTGCACGCTCCATTTTCAGGAGCTCTTCCTGACTAGAGAGAAGCCTTTCCTCCAAACCAGTTGCAGCTGCAGATGGCCCCCTACCCCACCATGTAGACAGCCTGTCTGCAGAGGTCAGGCAAAGTCGTCGGGTCCTGCTGCAGGGTCCCAGCTTTTGCTGTAGTGCCCCGCTCTGCTGTGTGAGCTAGAAATTTCCTTTTTGGTTAAAGCTAGTGGGAGTATGCCATCTGATATTTGTAAAAAAGACTTCTGCCAGCTACAGGCACTTGTGTCCTTGAAGTTTGGGGACATCAAGGGATTTTTCTGAAGCACAGAGAACTTAGTAGTAGAACCAGAATTCAGGCTTGTCTGGCTGGCTCTAAATCTACCAAAAACTATCCAATACATTCCACACATCATTTGCAAGTATTTATTGAGCGCGTGTTATTTGCCAGGCACGAAACCAGCATCCCGTTCCTCCTCTCCACCTACTGAAGGGCTCGCCTCTCCACTTTCACTCCCAGTGTCTAAGGACTCTCGAGTCAGGAGACATAAAAACAGCCTTTCACCACGATAGGGGCCAGCACACTTACTGTGCTCCCAGAATCAATACTCCCAGAGTTCTTATGTGCCAAGGATGTGAGAGGAGCCAGCCAGCTACCTGCCTACTTGCCTACTGTGGTCTGCTCAGCATGCAGTGAGCCCCAGCCCTGGTCTGGGGCCTCCTGCCTATACCCCACTCGGAGTGGCTGTGATCCTGCTGCCCTTATGGCCAAGTGACCATTTATGGGGGAGACTGAGGTAATTTTAAAAGTGTTTTTGATCTCAATTTTCCCAGATGTTCCCTTTCTTTACTTTACAAATCTGGTTGAGGAAAGGGACAAGGACTTCAGGACAGTGTTTCCAAATCTGTCCTCAGAACACCCATGGACGGTAACAATGATGTCACCAGTCAGAGACAAAAAAGGAGAAAAACAACCTGCTAAGTGAGCTTTTCCTGAAGCAAAATTATTCCACTTAAAGGACCATCCTATAAGAAGACGTCAAGTTCTTCCTCCTTTTTTGGTATAAAATTATACTCTTTCAGGTTGCTTGACTTTGCTGGGCCTTATTTTTAAAATGGGGTTGAGGGGCAGTGTGATTGGCCTAGATAACCTCCAAGGGCCTTTCCAACCCCAGTCTTCCAAGATCCTCAGGGCCTGGGGTCAAGTATGCTCCTGGGGGGGTGTGTCTCTTCCAACCTGGCTTGCCTCCCCCTTACTCTCTACCTATCCCCTCCTGCTGAGCCCCACAGGGCTGGTGCTCTCTGGCTGAGCTCTCCTGTGTGCTCCGTGGGGAAAGGCACCCTACTCTGGATTAAATGATCACCCAGGAGGTACAGCTTATAAAAGGCTAACATTATTTTGAATAGCCTAATGTTTATCTCAAGATAATGAGTATATCAGCCCAACCTTCATGCAGGCTTGGAATTTAGGACAGAAGCTCCGAGCTGAAGAGCGAAACCCAAGAACAAACACCAAGGCAGGGGCTGTGTAGGGGGTGAGCGTTGAAAAGGAAGGACCTTCTGGCTGAAGGAGGACATCATAGGCTCCTGCTCACCTGATCCGGGGGAGCCACAGGCTGTTCTGTCCTGTCTCCTTAGGTTATAGGTGGGGAAATGAAGGCCCAGGGAGGGGAGAGCAGTCTGTGATTGGGTGGGGGCGACATGTACATTTTTTCTCTAGCACCACGTCAGCTGGGGAAAGGCCTGGAGTTGGGAAGGAATTGAAAGACACTTGGAAACCCACTCTGGGGGAGGCCTGAGCACTAGGTTAGGGCAGACCCAAGCTCTCCGTGAGCCCCTGCAGCCCCAGCCCGCTCTCTCGGCTCTGGTCCTTTCTCAGCCTCCTTTCCTTGCCCATAAGCCCTCGGCTTAGCTCACTAGCTTGGAGCAGGAGGCTGGTGAGAGAGGCCCTGACTGGAGAGTGAGGAGGGCTGACGGCGTCTTCGGGCCTGGAAATGCCACAGGCCTTAACTGAGAAGCTCCAGGAAGAGAGGAGGTCAAGGGGAGTTGTCATTACACTTAGAACTCCTCTCCCCCATGCACCTCAAGAGGATCCAGGGGCAGATGAGGTGCTAGGATGTTCTCATGGGTGCCCTCAATCCCAGACCTTCCTGGGAGAACGACAGAACCAGGAGTCCCTCTGTGAACCTCCTGTTGCATTCAACCCTGAGGTGAATCATTAATAAATCAAGGATGGGATAAAAGGCCATGCTGAAAGTTCCCCTGATACACTTCCTGCCAATGTCTTTAGCACCCGCAGCCTTTGGTGGAGAGTCATTTGTGAAGTGGTGATGTCAGGGGCCAGACAGGAACCTGCTCCATAGTCTCTGAATCCACTTGGGAGACACCACCAATTTTAGGAAGGTTTCCAGCAGGAGACCTGGGCAGGCAGTGTGGGCTCCCAGTGCCCTCGGTGGTGCCTGTGCTTGATCACACAGGCAGCTCCCTGCCTGGGAAGCTGGGAGTGGGGGCAGCTCACTGACATGGAAAGGGAGGACCTGAGGAGCCCCAGGCTTACCCGCTTCTCCTTGCCACCCAGGATCTGGCACCCAGCTCCACAGCTGATGCAAGGCCAGGGTGGGTGAGCTCAGCTTGTCTCTGGCACGTGGGGCTTCTTGTGCCCCACCATGCTCTAGGAAACCTGCTGTTCATTCCCCTCTGCATTGGGCCTCCTAGGTCTCCAGCTTCATTCCTTCTGGAAGCAGAGCAGGGGCCACCCAGGATCTGGGAGCAGGTGCTGCTTACAGCTGGGGTAGAACCCAGCATTTCCGAATCAACCCTGCTCTGCTGTGCGGGGCAGCATGTGAACCTGGGCCCTGGAGCTCTGCCTCCAGGGTACCTGTCCTGGAAAATGGAAGGCCTGGACACCCCTTGGCCCTCAGGCTAAGTCCATGCCAGTTCACTTCCTCTTTGGGGAGAGGTTAGACCCTCTTATCCCATAGAAAGGTGGACTTTCATCTGCCTGCCCTCCCCCATCTTTCTTGATGCCCAGACCCAGGGTGGGAATGCCAGGACCCACCCATCCTTCCGAAGTATCATCCTCTCAGGGTGAGGATTCATTCACTATTTACTAAGAGCTTAGTAAAAATAAGCTACCACGTAATAACAACGTAACACAAATAATGTGTGCCCCATTTTACAAAGTGCCTTGCGACTAGTGCTTTGAGGGATCCCTGTGACAATGCTGTGATGTAGGGAGACCCTGGATGAAGAAGCTGAGGCCCGGAGAGTTTGACTCCAGAACTGGGAGTCATGCCTGCAGGGTCTTCCGCGTCCTCAGGCTGCCTCAGTCCTGCCCGTGCACCTGAGCAGGAAGCAGTCTTCCTCAGTGGAGACCCAGTTAGGAAGAGGAACCTTGCTCAGGGGGAATGGGGAGCAGGTGGAGAGGAGGCTGGAAGAATAGGACTTGTGGATTTAGGGTAGAGGCATGCTGGGGGCCAGCCTGCTGGGGAGGGCCTGGAGACGTTCTGGGGAGCACTGAGGTCTGAGGGGTGCTGCTCAGGGCACTGGAGATGCACTCTGGTGCCTTAGCTCCTAGCTTAGGGATTACGCCAAGCTCAGGCTGGAACCATTTGGGCTGGGTTTGCTGCCTGGGGGCTGACACAGGCTTCAGGACTGCCCCTCCAGGTCTGGTGCAGGACTAGGGCAATGGCCATCACTGGCCTGCCTCCCTGATGGTGCCGGGGTTGAACAAGGCCTTCCTCATCATCCACCCCATCCTGTCATGGGCTGGCCCTCTCCCCTCAGTTGTGCCTGACCCTCTCTGGGTGGCCATATGAACATCCTCATGACCCTTGCCTCCACCCTCCCAGCAGTTCCCGTTGCTGATGCAACTTCTGAGGCTGATGAGCTCAGGCTGCCCAGCCCTACAGGCAGGTGAGCACACACAGCGCTGTGGGAGGGCATAGCCTGTGCCAGCTGCACCCGCCCCTCCCTGCTCCGGCTCTTGGGCCTGGCGGGCAGGCCTGTAATGGAGCCGGCGGCAAAGAGAGAGGCAGAGACGCCTTCTCCCTGGAGGTACTCAAAGATGAGACACAAGCTCCACAGGGCCACGTAAGGCCCAGCCTACTGGCCACTCCAAACCCTTTGCCTGCTCTCCTATCCCCTCACTGGCACCTGGTGCTCAGAGAAGGGGCTCTAAAGGAGAAAACCCACTGTAAAGCCGGCTCCTAGCTCTGCTGCAACCTTGAACCAATTCCTGGAGCCACTCAAATCACTTTTAAGTTTGAATTATATTCAATTTTTATTAGATATTACAATCACCTGGTATTAAATTATAAAGTAAGTTAAAAGCGTATAAAACAGAGAGAAACAAGTGTCCCTCCCACCCCTTTCGTTCAGCTGCCCTGCTCTCCTCTGCAGAGAAAAGCAGCGTTACCAGTTTCTTGTGTATCTTTCCCGAGATAGGCTAGATTAACCGTTGGATTTTTTATTACAGTGCTCACATAGCAAGGTCACATCTTGCTTAGCTTTTCTGCCTGGGTTGAGGAAGGATAAACTCCCTGCTTTGAACATTCCCTAAATGAACAGGAAGTGACCAGAGGTAAACTTCCCACAGCAGGCCTACGATCCGGTTCTCTCTCCCCTTCAGCACCATCCACCTGCTACACCTCTGGACACCCAAGGCAAGAATGGAGAAGGACAGATAGCGTCGACCTGGTTTCATAGACAGGGAAGCTCAGGAGCCTAGATATTAAGGAGACTCAAGTCACACAGTGAGCTGGGGCACCCTAGTTTTCCCAC